GCAATTGTTGACAGTTTGGCTTAAATAAACTCACAAAAATTCTCCACAAGTTTGAATGTTTCTTGTGTTGACACACGATACACAGTTTACTAGAACATTATCCATTTTGTCATCTCCAGGAGACTATCAATTGTCCATGCTTTTCCCTTGCCCAGCACAGTGCTGAACGAGGACCTGCAGAGCACACATCTGCAACGGCTGATGTTTGCTTGGCAGCAGTCATAGGTACAGAACCTTGCTGAGAGTTTAGGGTCTCTCTCTCTCTCTCTCCCCTAATATATAAAAACTCAGGGTCTGTAATGACGGTCCAAAGGCTCGACTGAACACTAGAAGTCAGTCCTGCAGTCAGTGTTGCCGAGGAAGCTATGGATCAGACCCGGAGAGAGGCCCAAAGAGAGAGGCAAGGTCTGATCCTCAGCCTTTGTGGCAGCTATTGATCAGCCATTGCCTCTCTCTTTCTCTTTGGGCTTTGCCTCTGTTTCTCTCCAGGCCTCCATGGAGGCTGCTGATCAGACTCGCCTCTCTGATCAGGCTTAGAGAGACTAACTGGCATAGAAACAGATCAATCAGAACCAAATGTGGGTGAACTGTGAGAAGCCAATGGCTGCCAAGGAGGTGGAGCTTTTGACGCTGACTGACACAGAAACCAACCAATCAGAACCAAAATGGCTGGCAGGAGAGGGCAGTTAGGGGTGATCAGGCAGACAGAGGCAGTTAGGGGTGATCAGGCTGGCAGAGGAGAACAGTTGGGGGCGAGATCAGGCCAGCAGGGAAGGGCCATTGGGGGTGAGATCAGGCCAGCAGGGGAGCATTGTTGGGGGCGAGCATCAGGCTGGCAGGGGAGCACTGTTGGGGGCGAGCATCAGGCTGGCAGGGGAGGGCAGTTAGGGGTGATCAGGCATGCAGGCAAAGGCAGTTGGGAGTGATCAGGCAGGCAGGCAGGCAAACAACTAGGAGCCAGTGGTCCCAGATTGTGGTCCCACAGGGATTGGGCCTAAACCAGCAGATGGACATCCTTCAAGGGGTCCCTGAATGGAGAGGGTGCAGGGTAGGCTGAGGGAACCCCCATTCCGTGCATGAATTTCGTGCACTGGGCTACTAATGTGTGTGCGTGTATGCTTAAAAATAGGTTTATTGATATTGATTTCAGAGAAGAAGGGAGATAAAAACATCAATGAGGGAGAGTCATTGATTGGTTGACTCCTACATGGCCCCCACTGAGTATTGAGCCTGCAACCCAGGCATGTGACCTGACCAGAAATTGAACCATGACCTTCTGGTTCATTGGTCGACGCTCAAGCACTGAGCCATGCCTGTCCAGTAAGACTTCATATATTTTTTGTGTCACACTAAGGTAAGTGAGGATGAGCAGCTGATTTACTGAGGAAAAGAGTCTAGGAAGAAAATGGAAGCTTAGAGAGGAAACACATACTAGGATCATAAGAAGCAAGGGTTGTGAATACTGTCAGGTGTCACCTGTGTTGAGAAAGAGCAGGGGAAATGACTGGATTTAGCTATTAGATGGCAGCTGGGAAGCTGGGCCAGGCTGCAGTGGATTGGCACAATACATGGTTCCGGGAAGGTGGGGCAGGTCTAACACTTGTGTGAATAGTCGGACAGGAAACTGGGAGGGAAACAGGTTCATGCTCACAGGCAGAGGAGGACACAGGCTTTCCAGTTTATTTTTCCGAGATGGGCTGGTCTGTGCAACAGGAAGGATGGGAATCTCAGTGCATGTGCTGGTTTTAAAGGGAACTCACTTCCTCTAAAAGTGAATGGAGATTTTAGACAGTGTGCAGAGATTTTAGATGGTGTGTGGAGGGAAGAGCAGAGAGAGTGGCTGGAGGATGCCACAGGAGGGGCGGGAACAGCTAGGTTGATGGATGCGGGAGGCTGTGACCTCCACGGTGACATACTGTGCCACTAGAGGGCGCCTGGATCTTGTGCTCTGCCATCGGAAAAAGGCATGTGGAGGGGCAGTCACCGTGGCCTGTTCCTGGGATGCTTGTTCAATGGGCTGCTCGTTCCTAGTGACCGGCCACAGAACCTCTCGCAGCAGCCGGCCCCGGACGGCTGGTCCTGCCACTCACTGCTCCCCTCAGACAGTGGCCTCTCCAGCTGTCCATCCACAGATGGCTGTGACAGTTATCTGAGAACTGCACAGACATTGCTTCTCAGCTACCCAGGGCCCTGCTCCTGTGAGGGCACTCAGGATGCCGGGAACCAGAAGGGCTCATGGCGCCATTATCTCTCTCTCGATGTATCTCCTCCTTCTCTTCACCTGGACTCCTCGAAGCTTAGAATGAAAAAGTACTACCAGGATGTAATCATGTCCCGAATGCGATGAAATAATGTGTGTGGGATTTGCTTTAAAATAACTCAGTGTGGAGGGACAGGGAGTGTGGGTGAAGGGGAGACGTGAAATTTTCCATAATAAATTAAAAAAACAACAACACAGGGAGCGCTCCAAGTCTCCCTGTCTGTCGATGGACAGGTTTGTGCCAGCTGGGCTAGCTTCTGGCTGCACCTGCTACGATGCCGAGTCCGCTGCACAGTGGGTAACACGGGTTAGCTTGTGGGTGGTAGTCCTAAAGCAAGGGCTGTTTTTTTTTATTATTATTAAATATATATTTTATTAATTTTTACAGAGAGGAAGGGAGAGAGATAGAGAGCTAGAAACGTCGATGAGAGAGATACATCAACCAGCTGCCTCTTGCACATCCCCAACTGGGGATGTGCCCGCAACCAATGTACATGCCCCTGACCGGAATCAAACCCGGGACCTTTCTACCGCTGAGCCAAACCAGTTTCGTCAAGGGCTGCTCTTACGAAGAGTCCAGGAAAGGGGAATGCAAGGACCCCGGATCATCTCGTTTTGTTTTGTTTTGTTTTGCTAATCCTCACCCAAGGGGCTTTTCTCCATTGATTTTCAGCGCGAGGAAGGGAAGGGGAGACGGAAGGGAGAAACATGGATTTAAGAGAGACACATTGCTCGTCCAGACAGGGATGGAGCCTACAACCAAGGTACGTGCCTTGATCGGAAGTGAAGCCAAGGCTCTATCCATTGGGCCAAGGACAGGGCCAGGATCTGTGGAGCGTGGCTACAGCACTTGGAAAGATTCAGGCCTCACACTAATGATCCTCTCATGGCAAAGCCACATGCAAGTCCCAGCACAATTATAGCCAAAGGCTGTAGTTGTAAGCTTGACCTATGGTCCAAACATAAGATCCCAGGAGGCTGAGTGATGTGAGCTTGATAGAGTTCAGGTGCATGTAATCGAGTAGATTCGAAACCCACAGAACATTGTAAACATCTTGGCCACGCCCCTACTTTACCTCATGGAATCCTATCTAATAAAGAGGGAATATGTTAATTGACCATCACTCCATCACAAAGATGGCTGCAACCACTTTGAGGCCAAGTTTCCAATAAGGAGCCTTAACAAGCAATCAGCAGGGACCTGAGGTTTCACCCTCCCCCACCCCTGTGGGGCTTAACGGAGACCTCAGCCACAAGCCCACTCCAGTGCCAGGCCAGGGGACCTGAAGCCATATATGCCCCCCCCCCCCAAGGGGCTTGACGGGGGACCTCAAGGTGCACTTCTCATCCTGATGCTGGGCTAGGGGACCTCAGACCACACCCCCTGCCCCAGCACTGGGCCAGGGGACGTGAGGCTGTGCTCTGCAACCAGCGGGGCTTGAATGGGGACCTCAAGGTGTACCCCCAGTGCTGGGTTGAGAGAACTCAGCAGGGGCACAGCTTAGCAGAGCTTGAGGGGTACCTGAGGCTGCGCCCCTGTTCTGGTGCTGGGCCAGGGGACCTGAGGCTGTCCCCCTCCACCCAGCGGGGCTTGACAGGGGATCTCTGGCCATGTTCCCTAACTGGTGGAGCTTGACGGAGGACCTCAAGGCATGCCCCCCACCCCGGTCTAGGCTGGGGGGCCTCAGACAATGCCCCCTGTTCCAGCCCTAGGCCAGGAAACCTGAAGCTGCACCCCTGCCCAGCAGGGCTTGACAAGAGTGGGACTGGCCGGGTCTGGATCTAGCTCAATGGGGAGGGGCCAGACTGGGTACACTCGGGTGGATGGGGACTTGACTCTGGGTCCCATGGTGTGCCCCAGACTCTTTGACAGGAAGAAGGTTTTCATATACATTTTACTAATTTTCTTTAATCTCTGACAGTTCTATTATAGAGAAAGGGCAAATACCAATATTAAATTATTTCCTCTAATTAATACCCTTTTAATGTGCACGATATTTGTGTACCGGGTCACTAGTCTGACTATAAAATAAAGACGCAGCTTGCAGGCCATGGCGCTGTCTCTCCATCAGAGAGAGAGAGAGAGAGAGAGAGAGAAAAGCGTCTCACCTAGCCCCAGCTTTATTCTCTGTCTTCTTTAACCCTGCACCGTTTCCCCACCCCTCAGGTTCACCCTGTCCATGCTGAGCTCCGCACAAGGATCATCTCTTATTTGCTTTCAGTTTCAGTCTGTGGCGAGTGCTGAGGAGGTGAGACATGCTTGGGCCCCAAGCTCTGGCCCCCCAAGGACCATCCTGAACCCTCTGCAGCCCGAGCAGCCACAGGGCTTAGAAGGGCTTCGGCTGCTCTGCAGGGATTCCCTTTGCAGGAGCCTCATCTCGTTCTTTCCTAGAACATCCCGTACAGAGGAGCCCCTTCCACTGCGCCTCGCGCTCGGAGGGGGCAGCAGAGGCTGAATGAGCTGCGGCAGAGGGAGGCAGACACCACTGCTGGGCAGCAGGACTCCACTGTCACGGAGAAGGGCCAGGGTTCCCGGCCAGGGTAGGACAGCATTTCCAATCACACACCTTCCCAGGCGGGGCGTGTGTGTGTGTGTGTGTGTGTGTGTGTGTGTGTGTGTACGCACATGAGCGCGGAGGGGGAGGGCAGTGCTGCTCTGACAGCTCAGGAAACCCCCACACTGGAGGCAACACCACCAGCCCCAGCAGCTTCAGGGGGAGGGAAGGAGAAACAGACTTACCAGGTGTGCGGGGGACGGTGACCGGGTGTCCTTGACGGTAGCACTGGAGGGGACATCCAGGAGGGGCCATTTCATCTGCAGGTACTGAAGAGAGACAGGAAACAGAAGCGGCTGGTGAGAGCAGGCCCAGGCACCCTGCGAGCAGGGGAGAGGCTCTTGGCCAATCAGAGACACGATGCATTTTCACCTCACATGCTCCTCAGGGTCCAAAGGGTCATCACAAGGCAGGACACACATGTACCGTCACCACCGCCACCCACAGCCCCGTCACTTCGGGGGAACGCACACAACCCTACGAGCAACCCAAGTATTCTAAGAGCCTGTCGGTGAGGGCCAGGTCCTGACTGCTGCAGTCGTGGGACAAGCAGGGCTCCAGACGGCAATCCCACCCCCTTCCTTTCCCTCACACACGCTTCCTACACAACCGCCTCTTCAGAAGAGTCTGGTGGATGGATGGATGGATGAGAACCATCTGCCTGACACTCGCAGTGACATGGCAATATCTGTTCATACTCAGGGTGCTGAACTTATTTTTAATAAAATGAATTTTTAATTTATTCATTTTAGAGAGAGAGAGGGAGAGAGAAACATCGATTTGTTGTTCCACTTATTTGTGCATTCATTGGTTGCTTCTCGTAGGTGCCCTGACCGGGGATCAAACCCCCAACCTTGTTCTATTGGGACGACACTCTAACCAACTGAGCTCCCTGGCCAGGTCTCAAGTGCTGATCTTCACATCATTATACTGTTCCTCAGCCCTGAAAAGGTCACGCAGTATACTCCGTCTTTTCCTGAGTGTTGTAGAAATCCAAACCAAATACTGTAAATTGTGGACCTCAATTTAACAGATTTCAAATTTACTGGATAAACTACCTGGTCGGTATGTTGTATGTGAAAATGAACATTCTGTTAATTTTAAAGTGCTTTGAACCAAGACCTGTTTATAATTAAAAAGATTATTTTTTTTTATTAATTCACTGTCATTCAAAGAAACTTTTAGTAAATAGGCCATATGTTGGGAAAGACACTGTAGTAATTTAAAAAATATATATTTTATTGATTTTTCTACACAGAGGAAGGGAGAGGGATAGAAAGCTAGAACCATTGATGAGAGAGAAACATCGACCGGGGATGTGCCCGCAACCAATGTACATGCCCTTGACCGGAATCAAACCTGGGACCTTTCAGTCCGCAGACCGAAGCTCTATCCACTGAGCCAAACCGGTTTCGGCAAGACAGTATAGTAATTTAGCCGACATAAATATTACATATCAACAACTCTAGTCTACATATTTAAACCCAAGAGTCACTGCTCATCAACAGTGTTCGGCAAATGATCAGCTCATGATCACACCACATCGAGTGTGATAATTGGTTCCGTTGTGAGTTGTGTGACTCTCAGCAACCGTTTTTTTCTTTTTTAAATACATTTTTATTGATTTCAGAGAGAAAGTGAGAAGAGAGATAGAAACACAAATGATGAGAGAGCATCATTGATTTGGTTGCCTCCTGATTGCTCCCCCATGGGAATTGAGCCCGAAACCTAGGCAAGTGCCCTACACTGGGGATCGAACCGTGACCTCCCGGTTCATAGGTTGACGCTCACCCACTGAGCCACGCCGGCCGGGCTTCTGCAGCAGTTTTCACGGCCAGCCTACATTCCCAGCTGTGCGAAGCCACGCCTCCGCCGTGCGCGTCTGTTTGCTCTTGGTGATTGTTGGATGCACTCACCCCACTAGACCAGTGGTCGGCAAACTCATGAGTCAGCAGAGCCAAATATCAACAGGACAACGACTGAAATTTCTTTTGAGAGCCAAAATTTTAAAGCTTAAACTTCTTGTAACGCCACTTCTTCAAAATAGACTCACCCAGGCGGTGGTATTTTGTGGACGAGCCACACGCAAGGGGCCAAAAAGCCGCATGTGGCTCTCGAGCCGCAGTTTGCCCATCAGGGCCCTAGACTTATTCCGTATAAATTTAAAATCACAGTAATACGTACAGATAACTGTTCTGTGAAAGTAAACTTTTTATACGTCATTCAGATAACACAGACGTGTCTACATAAGTAAAAACAGGTAAATAAGCAATTTGCCAATTTTTTTAACATCCGCATTCTCAAAACCTACATGATTTGTCAGCAGATTTTCAGCTTTAAGGGACAACCCGCGCACACCTGAATTAGTTCGTTCTAGCGAGGTTTTTCTGTAATAAGTAAGCATGTGCACGTGCACACGCACCTTCAGACGAAACGCTTGTCCTTAACCTGGCCCGGCACAGATTTCGGGAAGCGCCAGCGCAGGGCGGCGAGGGCCTGGGGAGGCGCCTGGCCCTGGGCTCGGGAGCTGAGCTGCGGGTCAGTTCTCGCTCCGCCAGCGCAGGCAGTGTGACCCAGACAAGCGTCCTCACCAAGCCTCCGCTCCTGACGCCGTAAGGCAGGCCTCCAGTCATTCACCTTCCCGGCTGTGGGGAGGATCGGGGACCATGTCGAGGATTAAGCACGGCGCTTTGCATGTGGGAGACATTGTCAAACGGCAAGTCTTTGCCAGGAGCCACAGCGCGTGTTGTCCCAGCGTCAACACCGGCACGGAGCTCCTGGGCAGCAGACCAGCTCGGGGACAGCCCTGGTCCCAGGCTACTCCGAAAATGAAATCTTTCGCCGGAAATGGAGGCTCCTGATGGCCAACCAGCTGGGCCATCAGGAAGAGGCTCCCAGAGACAAAACAGTCTTTGACTCATCCTCGCGCTGGCCGCACAATTCCAGGAAGGGGCATGACCTGCCTGGGCCAAGGAGAGGACCTGAGGCCCTTTGCTTTTCATGGACCACGAAGACTGACGAAGGGCAGGGGCCAGCGTTCAGAAGGGTGTCCACGGGGCAATCCAGGGACGCCTCTCCCCCAGGCCAGGGGGCACCGGACGGGGGGGTGGAGGGGGGGGGAGGTGTGTGAGAGGGGAGGGTGAGGGCGTGGGCAGGCAGGCCTGGCTGCGGGAAACCCGGGAGGTGAGAATGACAGAGGGCACCGGGGGCCCCATGAATAAGGATAGTCTTTCCACTGGGTCCCGACACCCCCATGCCTCATACCGCGTCTCCTCTCTCCCTGCCCGCTGATGATCTTCTCCCACTCTTCACACCCCACCATCTCTTCTCCCCCAGAGCCTAACTGGCATTTAAATGCTTCGAGCCCTCCCGGGCCCTGGCTGGGATCTCAGTGGGTTAGAGCACCCTTCCGATACACCAAGGTTGCGGGTTCCATCCCCAGACATGGCGTGTGCCCTCAACACACACCGGTGTCATCAGTTAAAACCGATCTCCTCGGCGAATGACACCTGATGCATCTAACAGAGGTGTCTGCTCAGTAACTTGGCCATGCCATGCCCGCTGACTGTCCGAATGTCCGGATGAGCCGATGGAGGTCAATACAGGGTAAATGGCTCACCCGCCCTCATGATGGGAGCTGGAGCTGGGGCACAGGTCTCCTGACTTCATGTCCCACCCTTTCCCCCACAACACGGCTGGAAAGCTCTTCACAACAACTTACTGAACACCACAGCCCCACCTCCAGACCCTTCTTTACTCCGCTGGTTTTGTCTTTAGAATTTTTTTGGGGGGGAGGGGGGAGGAGGAGGAGGAAAAGGAGGAGGGAAGGCAAGAGGGAAGGAGAGAGAGATCAGCTGCCTCTCAAACATAACCAGACCAGGGATCGAACCTGCCACCTCTTAGTGTAAAGGATGACGCTCCAACCAGCTGGGTCATCAGCCAGAGTGGGTGGGCTTCTCTCTCTCCTTTTGTGCCTGGAGCAGGGCTGCCCAGCGAAGTGAAGGAAAGCACACATCTGCTCTCCTGTGCCCTCCCCCCCCCCCCCCCAGGAGACCAGAGCTTACCCCAGTGCTACACATCACACTCATGTCTCTAGGAGCCACACTAGAATATTTGTTTTTAAAAGCTGAACGACAACCACAAACATCAGGGGCTAACGTGGTGTCCCAACCCCCACGCCCCCCCAAGACACAGCAGAAGGCTCCCAGAACCCGTCAGCTCTACCACACCTGGTCCCCTGCTGAGAGCCTTAAAGACACGCTGGGGCCGAAACCGGTTTGGCTCAGTGGTAGAGTGTCCGTCTGCGGACTGAAAGGTCCCAGGTTCGATTCTGGTCAGGGGCATGTACGTTGGTTGCGGGCACATCCCCAATAGGGGGTGTGCAAGAGGCAGCTGGTCGATGTTTCTCTCTCATCGACGTTTCTAGCTCTCTATCTCTCTCCCTTCCTCTCTGTAAAGAAATCAATAAAATATATATTTTTAAAAAAGACACGCTGGGGAAACCAAGATGGCAGCACAGAGGACCTATACTGCTGCCTCGCACAACAATAACAAAACTACAACTAAAAGACAAAGCAGACATCACCCAGAACCACCGGAAAGCCGGCCGAGTGGAAATTCTACAACTAGAGGGAAAAGAAAAGGACACTGAGACTCAGGAGCGGCTGAGGGCAGAGGTGCAGGAACCCGGAGAGGAGCGGGTGTGAGAGGAAGGGCCGGGGGGCTGGATACTCAGCTGGTTTTCTCGAATCGGAGTGAAACAAAGGCTCTCGATAGTGCTGAAATCCAGTCCCAGGAGAGACTGGGGGAACCCAGACTCATATGGAGAGATACTGGACTGTCCGGCAGCGGGCAGGGCTTGAGAGAAGCTTTCTCTCAGAGGTATGTGCAGCCATTGCCGTGGGACACTGATACCCACGCCTCTTAGGGCGGGGCTGACGGGAAACCAAGGCTGCCTGCTCCACCCTGAGACCTCACCCCATCCAAGCTGAGCACAGAAGCTCTCCCAGTGTAGACACAGCTGATCCTCACAGACAATTGGCCTGGGGGTCAACTCCACCCAGCGATACCAACAACAATCAAGGCTTAACTACAGCAAGACTGTGCAGCCCATAAAGGGATGCACCGAGAGTGTCCACCTTAGGTAACTGGGGAGGCTGAGCCACTGGGTCCAAAGGACACCTCGCACACAAAGTTTAAAAAATGTGACTCTCAAAAGAAATTCCAATGGTTGTACTGTTGATATTTGGCTCTGTTGACTAATGAGTTT